GTAGTAGAATAAAATACTGTGCAAAACATCAGGTATACATGCATTTATTAAGCTGATGGCTTCTGGGGAGTGTCAGATCTTGTCCAAAAGATTACTTAGATGCTAGCAACAACTTGTCTTTCCTAGATATATTTCTAGGGGCAGCTGTTCTTCTATTATCCTTCTTGGGTAGCTAGTCCATCCACTCTCTCGTGATGAAGGGGCACATTGTAGTTAATACAGGTCTTTGTGTATTTACCACTGCCAAGACTAGAAGAGGCTTTTATGGTCATTTTTCTGGCTTCTGGTACGAGACAGATTGATTGCAGCATGCCAGCAAGCCAACAACTTTTGCAGCAGTAGTAATGTCACTGAATTTACTAGAACAAAGTAAAAGTTAGGTCCTAAATCTAGGGCCATTATAGATGATGGAAATCATCAGCAAGACTGAAATGCACCATCTGCAAGAATAACTGATGGGATGCTGCCATCTGCTCCAGCCTCAGTCGTTGCTGTGAACCACAGGCTGCTTGGTCTGAGGAGGATTATGCTTCTTCAGAGCAGAAATAAAGGGTGTTTTTTGTCAGGTTTGGCTGTTGGCACATGCTTACAGCTGAAAAAGAACAAAATTCATCTGAGAGAGAACACCTGGGGCTAAAGGTTTAACGGCATGAAGCTGTGTTGGGCTGGGGGGTTCAGGTTGGATATTGGGAAAAGGCCCTTTTCCCAAGGGCTTTTGGGACACTGGGATGGGCTCAGCAGGGAAGTGGTCACAGCTTCAAGTCTATCTGAGCTGAAGGATTGTTTGGATCACGCTTTTAGGCTCAGGGTGTGATTATTGGGGCTGTCCTATTCAGGGACAGGAGGTGAATCTTTGTGGGTCCTTTCCACCTTAGAATATTCTATGATTCTGTGTGGCATTATGGACATTGCAGGGGAAATGTGTCCCTTCAAATAATCAGGTGAGGACTATTCTGCATGATTCATGGTTTGAAAATGTTCATTTACTCTTCTTGAGAGAAGGACGAAAAAGTTTGTGCAGACAACTTTTTCAGTCTCAGTAGCATGTGTATATGTGTGTGTGTGACTATTTCTGGAAGATTTCCATTGTGTACAGGCAGCTCAGGGCTCTCAGTTAGCTCTGAGGCACTGAGTCAGCATCCCTGCCAAACCCTTGGCTAAAGCTCTATTTTGAGTTATTGATCTTCGTATTTCCACCACTTGATTCAAGCCGGAGTTTTTCCTTTCTTGGCCCTGTGTAAGGCAGAAGTGAGGAGGAGGCAGGATGTCCTTCATCAACCAAATGCCTGAAACTCTACGTGGGAATTGGCAGTTCCTTGGCATTTCATAGTGCAGGGCAGCACCTGCTGAGACATTTACATCTTGCTAGGGCTGACTTTGCTTCTTTCTTGCTCCAGCTACTGCCCACAATTCCTCCTGCTTTGTAAAAAGCTGCAGTAAAGGGGAATGTGCCATCAGGAAGCCCTCAGCTGCCATCCAGGACAACCCAGGTGGAGCCCAGTCCTGCAGGCCAGGGTGCAAGCTCAGGAGAGCTCCCAGGAGTGAAGTTACCCTTCCCCAAACTGCCCCTCCATATATTACCTATCTGACACTCCAGTTAAAATCACATTTGCTCTTCTCCTCACACACTGTACCTCATCAAAGGCCTGGTGAGAGATTTAGAGGTGTGAAGGTCTTGGGTGGTGCTCAGTGCAGGATGTCTGACTCACATGCAAATACCACTTATTATAACCAAAGTTTCATACCTGACAAGATGGTACAAACTATCAGGTGGGCTCCAAATCTACTTTTTGTAGTCTTCCTTTTCTAGTAGATCAAATAACAGTATTTTTTATAATAAAAATATTTTTTTCCTTTTTAAAATTTTTTTAAATAAGCCTCAGGCATGAATGTTTGTTGGCTCATCACTAAGCTGAGAACTTAGACCTGGGAACAGCTGCCTATTGTCTCTTGAGTTGTTGCCTTCAGATGTGGGGGACTCTGCCACCTTTACAAGGAAATGTGAGTGTGATACTTACATTCCCTGTGAGGAAACTGTGTGCTGTCTTACAAAGAGCAGAAGTGTAAAGGAAAGAGCAAGCCACAAAAGCAAATGTGCGAGTGCAGCGCTTTGTGGCTTCTGCAGTGGAAAGAATGCCTCAGAGAGAGAGCAAAGATGTGCAAAGACACAGCCCGTTGTCTGTGCTCACTCCTCTGCTCTCCTGTGTGTCAGAAGATGGGGATGCGTCGCAATGCAATGGGCTAAACAGGACTCTAGCATCCTTAGCCTAACTGAACCAGGCCTAGCAGAGCTGTGCTGGGAGACATCTACTTTTCTATCAATTGTTGCCCATTTTGTATTTGGCTTTGTTTAATCCAGTGGTGTTACTTCCTCTGTGAGGAGAGAGGGTGTCTGCAGTGAGGAGAAGAGTGTGAGAGCGCTGTTATCTACAGCTGTTATCTCCAGCTCACCTTGTCCTGCCCAGCACAGATTTGGCCACTGTCTGGGCTGTGGCCACGCACAGCTCCAGCCACAGCTCTCTCTCCACCTTGGAGAGCATTTCTGCCTGGTGCTGTTCTCTGCTCTAGCTGTTCTCAGGGTGTTTATCCCGTGCCACATCTCTGAAGGTACCTGCTGGCTTGAGGGTTCCTCTGTGGCAGCAGCCAGAGCTGCTGTGCTTTCCAGAGACACCTTCAGGCTCCTTCTCCTCAATGCCTTCTCCTGGGGCTCTCCTTGAAGGCAAAACAGAGATGTCAGTGCAACAACCTAGAGTGCTTCCTTCCACGTAACATCCAAAAAATCCTTCTTCTAAAATGGGGATCAAAGCCCAGTCAGGACTGCAGCATGACGTTGCCTTGCTTTTCAAGAGAGGAAGGGTAAAGCTGGCAGAATATTGACATTTTCCCACTTGTCATCCGGCAGGAAGACTGAGCTTAGAGACATGGGCTGCTTTGTTTTTCCCAGCAGGGTCTGATGCTGCAGGAGGTTTCAGAGGCTGGTTAGAAAAGGGGCTGCTTTTGGGACAGGCCATGCACGTGCCAGGACTTCATGGGGAGTTCTGGCTGCAGGTGAGTGATGTGCCCCTTTTGCAGGTTTGGCTGTGCTTTTGGCTTTTGTTGCTCGTCTTGCAAGTGGATTTTGTGCACGTGCACCAAGTGCTCAGGAATACCAAGGCCCAGTGTCACTTCTGTGATGCCCAGTGACCATGGGGCACCAGCCACTGAGCCCTCAACCCTTCTCTCAAGTGCTTCTTCACTGCTCACAGTAAGCTCATTTTTGAACAGACATTTTATATCCTTTAGGAATAGGTTCTTGCTCCTGCCTACCCGTTGCTCCAAGAGCACCCAGGATGTTTGGTGAGCTGGTTTGCTGGATCATGGGGACTTTTGGTCTGACCCATTTAGAAGTGAGTTTAGAAGATTGTGTGTGGCATGTGGGCATGCCAAACTGATTAACTGGAAGTAGTGGCCTTCGTTATGAATAAAGGGAATTCTTTTACACCTGGTTCTACCACTATGGATCTTTACCTGTCTGCTCTCTCTCACATACACACACACATCTTTCCCTTTGCATTTCATTTGTATCATGGACAATTCCCATCCCAGTGTGTTGGCAGGGATGCCAACAAACAGACAGGGGTACCCTGGAAGCAGGCAGGGGCTTTGAGGGATGTTTCCCTGAAGAAGAAGGGAGACAAAGTTGAGCAGAGCATGGACATGAGTGGTTTCAGCATGCTGGGCCTCCCTCTGCTCTGCTTGATGGATGCAGCAAAAAACCTTCAAAAAACAGAGGAGAAATCAGGGTTGCTGCCTTTGCCCAAATTTCTTTAGGTACTCATGCTGGAAGCAGATGTGTCCAGGAGTTTGACACAGCTTGACTGGCTGAGGAGGTACCTGAGCGTGGCAGCCCCTGCCCTCAGCTTGTTTCTTGCCACAGAGGGTGGAGGTCAGGCACAGAAATGTGATCTTGCTGCTGTTGCTTCCTCTCTCCTTTTGTGTGTGCTTCCTTTGTGTGTTCTTTGGAAGGAAACAATAGCAGAAAGAAGGAAGAAAAACTAGGTTTTCCTGCAAGGAGTGTTTTTTTATCTCATTAATACCAGTAAAAAATGATTAAGCTGGAGAAGGGGACGTGTCTTACAAGGAAGATCTAACCTCAAGGAAGAGGAATGACATGAACAAACAAGAAAGATTTATCTACTCTTGTACATTTCTAGTGCCACAGATTTTCTTCTGTCTTCTTTCTTGGCCTACATCTGTGACAAAAAGCTGGAAGATTTCAGTGGCAGCTGAAGCAGAGGAATTATGGTGGTGAGGATAAGACTCAAAATCCTCACCACTCCATCTGTTTCGTTGGAATCAGGGATAAGGACTTCGTTAGCTTCTCACGTGTTTTTGGACCTATCTCCTCACAGCTGTCTTTCCCACACCAGCCAGCTTCAGGGCTGGTTTGTGGCTGGATCAAGGCAGTGTTCCCTTCCATGCTCATCCCTCTCACAGCTTGCTGAAGTGGCTGGCCCTGCCTGCAGGAAGCGTTTGTGGCTCTGGCCAGCCCCTCCACACCAGATGCCAAGCTGATCCTGCTGCTTTCCAAGGCAAGTGTGCCTCCTTTCCAAGCGTTGTCCAGTAGCCACCTGCTCCTCACTGGGGGTCCTGGGCTTGCTCTCCCCTTGCTGCTGCTGAAGCTGTGGGGGAGAATTAGGATTCCCATCGCTCCCCCACCCAAAAACTGCATCCCTCCCGCTAGGATGGTGGCGTGTGGATGCTGGAGCTGAGCTCTTCAGGTGAGCGTTGAGGAGGACGAGGGCCCCACCTGGCCCTCCAGCTGGGTGGACAAGCCTCCAGGGCATTCCTGGAGTTTAGTGCCCATTTTCTTTGTGTCTCCATGTTGCCTCCATGCAGACACAACGCCCTGTTGAGGCTTGTTTCCGCCTCTGCTAGAAATGAGAAGTGCTGGAGGAGAGGAGGAGGGCACAAAGGCTGCGCCCACATGTCCCATCACTGCTTGCTCACAGCAGAAAACCCTCTCACCTGCCAGGAGCTACCACTAGACAAGGCAACACTGGATGTTTTTTGACCCTGAAAATGAACTTTAGGAGGATTTTCCTAGTCAAGTGCTTGCTGCTTTTATTTCCCAGTGTAAAATGTGAGTTTTTCTTACAGTTTTTTGCTCTTTTGGGCTGATGTTAAAATTGCATTTTAAAGCATTTACAACTTGGTGGGCTGCTACTGATAAGAAAGTTGTTCCACTTTTCCAATGAGTGAAGACATCTGGGTTATTGCTATTATTATTTGATTTAATTTTCAACCAGGGGGAGGGCAGGACCTGAGTTTCCTATTCCAGTTATAATAATAAGCTGTAAAGAGTTTTGGTTTTAAGTTAATGAGCCTTAATTTGACACACGTGTAATGAGAAATGTCAGCATACAGTTTGCTTTCTGCCCTCGAGGCAGCTTGTACTACATTAGAGATCCAGTTCACTGTGCATTATCGCATGTAATTTCCTTTTCTTATCAAAAGATGTGCAAATCTTTTGAAAGTACAATTTATATTCTTCCATAAATATTAGCAGAGTGATATATTTCAGTGTCTTCAGTGGTGCTGAAGTTTAAGATGTGAAAACAGCAAGCAACTGCATATATTTTTTATATTTTCCATATTATTGTTCTCATTATTTTTTAAAATATTAATCTAAAAACTTAATTAAGGTGTTAACTCATAGATTAGAGAAGGTTTTAAGAGATGGAGACAATACGAGCCTGCATAATTTTTCCCCCTCTGTTTCATTCCACTGAGTTTGTATGTATGGCTGTTTAATGCTTTGCTTTTCCTTCAGAACAAAATTAATAGATAAATAAGGATTTCTTCTTTTTATGTACACAATCTATAAAACATTTTCCCCCAGCAGAAATAAGGATTATTCCCTTGAATGTAAAATTGTTTCAGAGACTTCCTTCCTTCTCTAAAATTTCTATGGGAGCTTTTTCTTTTAACTCTTTCTTGTGACTGTAAGTGAGCTGTAGGCTCTCAGTTAAAACCTTTCTGTCCTTTGGGGCACATTTTAGTTGGCATTTTTATCAGAAGTGCTGTTTCATTAGCTAAACAGGTTTTTGATATCATATATGTGGGATACTCAGCTTTCCACTAGAAAGATGATGGAGATCAGATCAGTATCTAGAGATGTCTCTGGTCCACAGAGATGCCATTGAATTATCCTTGAAAACTCAGATTAGTTTTTTTCTTTACTTTCAGATAGAAAATATAAGTAGTGTCTATTATGCAAAGAAATCCTATTACTAGCTCTAAATACTTGTTCATGACTGAGCAGAAACAAGTATCAGAATTCAAATATTGCGTAGTGTCATCTGTGTGGGGCACAGCTGCTTCCAAGGCTGTTTAGCTGACAGCTTTATTTCAGGACATTTCATTAGATAGATCAAATACCTTTGTAAGAAAGGCAATGCTGAAAAAACAACCTCTCTTTAGAGGTGGTGAATTGCCAGGAGCACTACAGCATTAATGTTCTTGTTGCAGAGGCATGCTATTTTAGTTCTCTGATTGTCTCTAATATTGTTAGTTTAATGAAATAGCCACTGGGTTTCAGTTTCCCCTCTGTGGTGCCATTTATCATTATCCTAGATACAAGGAATGAAGGACTGTAATAAAAATATGCATAAACACAGGTTTTTCTCTCTGTGGGGAAAAAAGTACTAAAAATACATAAAATTAGGGTAGAATCAGTGGTGACGGGAAGGGAAATCTCCTCCTGCTGATTGGCTTCACCCTGTAAATTGAGGAGGAACGAACACAAGAAAATGACAAACGAAATAAGCTGTGGCTCTGAGTGTGCCCATTCAGGTCTCACTGAGCTCATCCCACCTGACACTTGCACGTGGATTTCTCCCTCCTCCCGCAGGTCTGTCCTCCTGCCACGGGGGTGGGGACAGTTCCTCTCTTGAAATCACCTCCTGGCAAACTTCCCAAGTCCTGGCTCACCACAAATGGGGCTTGCAAAGGTGGTGGCTGAAGCAGCCTGGACAGAGCGGGCAGGGCGCTGCTCCTGGAGTGTGTCATCCCCACTGCTGGAAAAATGGTGGATGTTTAGTGAACATCCCCCTTGGCAGCCACATGCTCAGGTGCTTCCCAGTCCTGACACCACTTTTGGGAAGCTCCTACTCTTCACTGTTCTGGAGAAGGGACCTGGGATCAAAGGAAGAGAAAAGATTTTTGGGTTTTTTATTGCTATTTTTATGGTAATGACTCCTGCAGCCCCTCAGTTCACAGGATGCTGGTAGCTGTTTCTCCCTGCCTTACTTGCCCCATGAGGATCCTATGCTAGCAAAATCAAGTGGATGCATTCCAGTGGGGCAGAGTCACTGGGATGGGAGAGGGGAGGCACTGCTGTGGGTGCCCCTCCAGTTCAGTGCCTCACACTCACTCACAGCTTGACGTGGGCTGCTATTATTATCATCATTGCTCTCACTGGCATTGCTGAAATGATTCTGCTGCCCAGGAATGTGACTATTTTTGCTGTTTGCAGTTCTGGGCACTCTGGGTACCAGCCTGTGCCATGTGCAAAACACAGAAGTGACCTTCTTTTCAGGAAGGGCTAAGTTCATGGTAAAGTGAATGAGAGGCCATGAATCTTGGCATCCAGAGTCGCTTTAAGTCAGCCAGGGTATAAATTCAGCTTTTGAAAGCTGGGCTCTTAGCTTTCTTGCCTCTGAGAATTAAATTGGATGCTGGCATTTATCTAATGAACAATCAAGAAATATTTTGGAGCAGGAGAAGAAGATGGCATCAGTAAAGCAGAGAGGCTTAGGCAGCACAGGAAGGGGGTGGCATAGCAAATGACAATTTTTTGGGTGACTGCTGTGTCTGCTGGAGACAACTGAGGGGCTGGCTGTGCTTCCCTCCACAGGCTCCAGCACCAGCTGGATTTACAAGGCAGTGAATGAGACAGCTCTTCTCAGCATCACTGCTCCTGGGAGCATCTTCGAGGCAACATGGAGGAAAGGGGGACAAAGGCTGGTTCAAATCAAAGAAAACAAAGTCAAGCACTTTGTGAACAAGGAGCAGTGCAGGTGTGCCATACTGCAAAATGGGACTCTGCAAATCCAGCGCGTGGAGAAAGAGGACAGCGGGAACTACACAGTCATGGTTTATCAGCAGGATGGAAAACTCAAGGCAGAAGAAAATGTAATGTTCTTTGTTCAGGGTGAGTTTTTGACTTTCCCATCCCATGCCCAGGACAGCTGAACAAGATTTGGTGTTCTCTGCTTTCTCCCACAGCCTTTCCTACTCAGTGCCCTCCTTTCTGATTCGGAATGGGAGGACTTCTGTAGGACATACTTTTTTCTTCCTGCCACAGACAGCAGCCTGCCTCTCTTCCTCCTCTTGCTCTGACTGATGGCCTCAAACCCCCAGCTTCTTTCTGGCTCTCCTGTTTGTCAGCCAGCAGGTTTCTAGCTGTGCCCAAGAGAGCAGCTGTGAGCAGGTTCACACTGACAGCAGGTGAGGGTGGTCAGCCCTACTGCAGCACCAAAGACAGTGCTGGGACCATGAGAGGGCTCCCAGCAGCATCCTGCTTCCAGAAACCTCTGCTAGGACCACAGCAGCCTGTGGGAGGTACAGCTGTGGCTGATGCACTGTGGGTTTTGGGTATTTCTAGTGCCATTTAATGGGCACTCAGTTAAGACTTTTGTTCTCTGGCCACTGGTCCAGCAAGCTGAGCAACTGGTGTTGGCAACCCCTTGAGGAGAGCTCAGGAGTCCAGATGGCACTAAATGCCACTCCATTTTTGCTCTGATATACAAAATAGCCAGCAGTCACCCCCCCCCCCCCCCCCGAGATAAACCACAACAGGAGCTGAATTTGCAGTGGAAGAAGACTCCTGCACCCTACCACTGCATAGCACAACACAACAAATATGAAGTCTGTGTTCTTTGAAGCAGAGTTAAGCACACACCTGGGGATTTCAGCTGCTTGGGTTCAAAGCATGAGGGCAGCCTCCATTCCTGCGCTGTATCTTGTCCTAAGAGATCAGAGCAGTAGCAGCCCACAGGTTTTGGGGTGAGTAGGGATGATGGGGATGGCTATTCTGCTCCTTAATAGTTGCTGTGACCTCTCCAGACCTCTAAGCTGTAGGACAGCATGGGTTTTTTTCCCCAGTGAGGGGATAGCTTTGTTCTGTCCTTCTTCAGTCATTGTGCCCACCTTTCCTGACATCTAGAGCTTGTGGCACCAGCTGGGCTTACAGAAATGATGCCTTATTGAGGCAGCAATGACAGCTGGAATGGTTTTAGCAGCGTTTCTGTGCAATGGGAGGGCCTGTGTCTGATGGGCTGCTGAGCAGTGAGGTGTCTCACTGCTTTGGGAGCTATTGCTGTAAACAGATTCAGGAAGTCAGCAGGGCCTGATGCTTCTTGCTCATGTTTGAAGCCACTCTGGTGTCATTGGGGTGTCCTCATTTCAGGTCAAGGTTAATGTTCCAGCCCAGCTGTGTGCTGCATCATTTCCTCTGCTGTGCAGCAGAGAGGTTGCATTACCTCTGACACATGGCTTTGGAAGTCCTGCACTAAGTGTCAGTGCTAGAACAATTTGTCAGTCAGGCTGGCCCGTTGTTACTGGGGAAAAACTGTTGTTTAAAAAAAAAAAAAAAATTGTCCCAATGATATTCTCACTCAACTCCAGCACCTGGACTCCAATGTTTCCCACTGGAATGTTTCCCTGAATAACAGGTTCCAGTTTGCAGAGGAGGAGTGAGCTTACCAAGGAAAGTGTAGCTGCAGATGTCATGGTGTGAACCTTGACTGCATATGCTATGAGCAGTCCTTATTTGCTTTAGAATTTATTATCTCCATAAAATTTACTCAGCCTGTAACCAGAGGTGGCACTGGCATGTTTTTGTTTATCTGGTCTTAAAGGTAGAAATAATTATTTTTCATTTGCTGTCCCTGCCAGTTGCCATTACTTGAGGAAAACCCTGCAGGCTTTTCCATCTCTTTCAGTGTCACCAGTGATAGAGAAACTGGAACCAAAAGGGAGGAAGTTGTTTGCAGGGCATAAGAAGAGACAGAAATCGGGTTTTTTTCTGTCATAACCTCATTGAGGGCTGAAGTGTCTGTTTTGTGCTCTCCATCCTGGGTTGATGGCCTTCCGTGCTGTGCTGTCATGCTCACTGAGTGCTGTTGGTAGCCCACAGAACATCATAAGGAGCTTTTCATAGTTTTTCCTGCTTTAGAGAAAATCTCTCCCTGATGGGCACAGGCAGAACAGGATCACCTTCCCTTGCACCAAAACACAGGGTCCAGAGGTGGAGGGGGCTGTGGCTCTGAGTCCCTTCCACACACCTGAAGAAGACTCAGCTTCCTCCCCTCCCCTGCCTGGTGTCCAGCTCTAACTATGTAGGCTACTGCTCTGCATTTTCTTTATTACTGCCTTGTTACTTCTGCAGCAGAGGTCTAATTTGCTCTTCATTCTTCTGTGATCTCATTAGCTGGTGATTTGGGGTTTATTCTCTGTTTTGCTTAATAGCAGAGGCTTGCAAGAGGAGAAACTCTCTCAGACGTGCCTGTGCCTTCCCTCCTTTTTCAGAACCTGTCCCTCAGCCAATCCTCATCGCTGAATGCAGGAATAAAACTGTATCTGTCAAGTGTGAAGCCAGACAGAAGGCCAAGAATGAAGCAAAAGACAAGGCAAAGAATGAGGCAAAAGACAAGTCTGAGGCTGAAGCATTTGTAATAGAACTGACTCAACCCAATGGCAAAAAAATCCAAAAGAACGCAACAATGCTGGAATGGCACGGGTGGAATTCTGGGACGTTCCGCTGCGTTGCTAAGAACCAAGTCAGCGAAAAAATGGCTGAAAAAGTAATTAACTGCTCAGGTAAGAAATCTCTTTGGTCAGAATGTGCTAGGGTGGACCACTGCAGAGGGCAGTGGGATGTGAGAGGGGTTGTGCTCCTCCCCTTCTCCTGTGGGGAAATCCATGGTGTTTTTCTCTTCTCCATAATGTACCATGGTTTTCCCATTCAGTTAACCATAGATGCAGCAAAAGGACTGAAGGGATTGCATTTTAAATGGGAAGAGTCATGCTGAAAATGATTCAGTAGGCAAAAGAAGTCATCACAATTGTCAGCCTCCCACTTAAAAATTCTGCAAGTTAAGGCACAAACAAAAGACAGATCACAGTGGTATGACACTGGTGTGGTGCTCAGTCCAAAGTTCAGAATTCCAGTGCAGTGCTGGGGAAAAGTTCTTGAATTTCCCAGGCTTGGGTTCATCCCACCCATCCACAAGTGCTCTGCTGGAAGCATTCCCTTACTCTAGATTCCTGCTGGAGCTGGTGGAGAGTTGAGTGGGGCTCACAAGAGCTGGCTCAGCGTTCCTAATTTTTACCTATTTCTGCCGCAGTGAATTTAGGGAAAGTCCAAGCCTGAAGGACAGCCCATGATGTGAGAAGGGAGGGAGCAAGCCTTAAGGCATAAAGGCTTTACTGAGGTGATCCCAGGTCTGCTGATTCTGACTGATGGGCAAAGAGCTGAGGGACAGGATGGCCACTGCTCTCCTGTTGCCTCCTGGATAATCCTCCTGATTTCAAAAACAGCCAAGCAATGTATTTTTTTGCTGCTGCCTGCCCTGATGGACAGCACAGTCCCGTTGTTGTTATCATGGGGAAGGGGTGAGCAGGATGTGGCATGGACTTTGGAGCCAGGTATGAAAGCATGCTGCTGGATTAGATCTGTTTAAGACAAGGCAAATATCCCAAACACCTTGTCTGGATGAGGAAATGCTGGCCAAAGCTGCCCATGCCAGGACACAAGCCAGGCAAGCACAGTTCTGCTGCCATGGGTAGACATTGGCCATCATCTAGACAATTTTGATTTCACTTTTTCTCACCCTTGAGAAATGCACTTTTTTCACAGGGCAAATTGGGTCAGAGACTTTGGGTTTTTTCTCACATCACTAACAGAGAAATACCAATGATCTTTAAGGCACAAACACAGCATTTCTCAGACACCAAATACCCCCTAAGACCATGGAGCAATCAATACTCTTCCTACCCAAACTGAATACCTCTCAAATTTTTGTGTAGTGGCAGGACTCTGCCAGCTCCACAGTAGATTAAAAATCCCTCATCTTGCAGTCAAACCTCCCTCTAACCCTGCTGCCCTCTGTGAACACTTGGTCCAGCATTTGAGACCAATCACCTTGAATTTTGACCTTTACCGGCAAGGTACACTTCAGGTGGGTTTTAACTCAGCCAGCTTTTCATGGAAGTGTAATTATATGCGATTCTGTCCTGGTTCCTCTTGCACTCATCTGGGAAAAACAGGCACAGAAAAACACAAATACACCTTGGTGTAACACTGGCTACTAAAACAAGTGGCAATTTAAATACATGTGAGCACAGGTGAATGCTCTGGTTTCAATTTCCTGCAGAACTTGAATCCATCAGGGAGCAATCAAAATCCTCTCAATGAGGAACAGCAACTTTCTGCTGTACACAGGTAAAAGGCAAAGGGTTGGGTGTTTACTGGCCTGCCTTTACAGTCAATTGAAGAAAATACAGAATTCTAAGTGGATGTTGTGCAAGTCATTTCTTTCCATCTAACTTTCTCTCTCATCCCCTTAACTAGGCAAGATGGACTTTTATCTCATCTTAAGCATAGCAGGAGGTGCAGTCTTCTTTGTCATCTTTGTGATTTGTCTTATTTATTGTATCAGAAGGAGGAAAACAAAAAGGAATGAAATTTATGGTAAGTGTTTAAGAAGCTTTATTTTGCTATCCAGCAAAGTAAAATATTAGAGCTTCCCACTGACAGGAGCCCTGTGGTCAGGAGCATTTTCCCTGCCCTGACATGAGAAATAACCTGGTTTTAGCATATGGTGATTCTGTGTAGATCAGTTGGCATTGCCAGTCTCACTTTCTGATATGTGCTTTGAGAAAGCCACCTGATTATTATTTTACACTATGGCTGTTCTCTTTTGAGTGGTACAGATCACTGCCTCAGTTGTGCAGTGACACCACATCCTCAGTTCTTGGGCCTGGATTCAGCAGGAATTAAGAAAATGAGTCTGAGAAAATGAAAACTAATATTTTAGTGATTATTTTACAGTGACTAGCCTCTCTGAAAGAGTTTGCTGTGAGTTTAAGGCCAACTCAGTGTCTCAAGAGGTAAATCCCTCAATCCCTAAGTTAAGATGAGTGGTATTTCAGAAACGATGAGTCAGTGCTCAGAAGTCAGTTGGTATGAATTTACTTCTTTGTGTGTGAAAATTAGTGCTGGCAAAAGGGATCTCTGGCTGCCAGGAGTCTGGAAATCCCAGCACAGACAAAGGCAGGGCAGAGTGCTTTGATGTTACTTCCTGGGGTTAGATCTCACTTTCCCTTCAGTAGCCTCCAAAAGGGGACAGCAGCTCAGGCTGGGATGTCCATCAATGTCTACTGGGGCCTCCCTGATAAAGCTGGTTCCCCCAACAGAGAGGGTGTGGGAATCCATAAAATCAGAAGGTTTTGGGAAAGCTGCAAAATTCAGCCCTCAGAGACAGCAGAACTATGATTAGAGCTAAGCAGTAACCATAAGATTGGTCAGCAGAGAAATTATATAAGTAGAAAAGTAAGGACAAATAGAACAATGGTCTGTGTATTAACACTTACCTAGAATAACTCCCTATGCTGTAGAAAAGTATATCTAGTGAGATGTTAGGAAGTTCTAAGCTTAATAATGGAGCTGTGTGGATTGTGTTTTAAGGCTTACAAGCAGGTATTGTATTCAAAATAAGCAAGCATTGTTTTAACCGAAGGTACGTGTGCTTATAGTGGTTGGATAGAACTTCTGTCAATATGCTTTTGTTTCGTGTGATTGGTCAAAACAGTTTTAAAGTGAGCTGTAACATTAAGTTCTTGGTCTGCTGCCTGGGATGTGAGCTGCTGGCATCTTCCCATTGTCATGACCACGTAATGAGACTGATGCTGGAAAATAAAACAGCTCAAGACACGTTCCTAGCAGTCCTGTCCTGTTCATGATTTGTACATCCAGGCCAGCGATAATGGGGCAGGTCTTTCCCAAATGCTCCAGGTACCTTGATCTCCGCCAGGCAGCCAAAAACATCCATGTTGGCCTGGAAGGAGCAGGCAGAGGTGATTTTTGCTGTTCACTGGAACAGCATGAACACCTGAGAGTGGCAGCTTAAAACCCAGTATTTGGCTTTTCCTTGCTTGGGCCGAGGACATTTCCGTGTCTTTTTTGACAAGTCATTTTCGACTTCTTGGTGCGCGTCTGACTGTGGGCTCCTTGTGCTGTTGCAGATGAGGAGCGAGCGATGCAGACCCTGCCCGTGGACCGTGAGAGGGGGACGCGGGAGCTGCCTCAGGCTCCATCCAAGCCCACCCCGAAGCAGCTGCGGGTGCAGCAGCGGCCGCTGCCCCCGCAGCCCCAGGAGCCGCCGCAGCCGCGGCCCCAGCCACGGCCCCGCGCCCAGCCACGGACTCCCAACCTGCCGAGACAGAGGCCCTGAGTGGACAGCCTGGGAGGAGGGATGCTGGACTCTCTGCTCCACCATTTACTGGGAAAAGAAAGTTTGTGCCAGCCAGGAGCCCCTCCTGCCCAGCCCTGCGTAACGCTCAGCTATGAAAAGGCGGCTTGCCTTGCAGAAAATTAGAGAGAGCACCAAGTGGAGGCAAGGAGACTCAAGGTGATGGGCATTCATCCCTGTGGCCATTTTTCCATCATGTTGGGATATGGATATGGAGCACTGAGCCCAGAAACCTGTGTCTTTCTGTGGTTCACTTGCTTTTACTGCACCTTGTTGTCTTCGGGCTTTTTGGATGGTTTTCACCAAGAAGAAGCTAAAGCTCTACTTGGACAAAATGGACCTATGGATCTTACAGGGTTTCATCTCCTGCTACACATTAGGACAGCTATCTGGCTTCAGCATCAAATACGTGGCCTCCTGGTCTAAAAAAATGGTTGTATGTAATTAAATATTTGTCTGAAGTTGAAAGGATTTGTGTTGGATAATGCAGAGAAGAAAATATTGAAAGGACGTGTGAGAACCTTGAAGGACCTGTGTGGGAAAAACACGAACGGGAAAGGGAGAACTTTCCCCTTTTCTCCCTTTCCCTTTCTTCACTGTGTTTAGAAAAGAAACTGTAGGTTTGAATTGCAGCAAGGCAGAGTTAGGTCAGTATTTTATTTTTCTTTTTAATGAAACACTGAGAGAGATTTCTGGGAGAGGTTCTCCAGCACTGGGGTTTCAAAGGGTGGATGAGACAACATTCTGTGAAGCTTTTTGTCCTGACAAGGGCCAGGAGAATGTGCTACACAGCCTCTTCAGGGACAGTTTCAGCTGAGTTTTCTGTGACTTCTAGGCAAATAAAACAAACCTTTATTCTCAGCAAAAGTCTGTGGGGCTATCCAGACAAATTTTTTTTTGCCTAGAAGAGGTCTGGTCTCCTTTGGCTTGTGAAACAAAGCATTATAAACTGCCAACCAGAAGGATTACTGGTGGCACTGTCTGAATTGTCAGGGTTCACATCCCAGGGTCTCCTGCTGAGGGTGAGGGACTGTGTTTCTCGATTTTGCTGGTAACACCTCAGGTATAACCAGGGCATGATAGAGAGCTGCTGAGAGATCTGCATCCCCAAGGCAGAAGTTGGACTGCAATAAATGCACCTGCAACACCTCCCACGTGCTGGACACTGCTTGCTCATCTGGGCCTTGGGGTTATCCATAAGTACATCTACAGGATAGCTGAGGAGCTGGGAGCACAGGCCTTTTTTAGAGCAGTGTCTACATGGGTACACTGACCCATCTGGGGTAAAAAGCAAGGCAGGTGAAGGAGGAGAGAGCTACAAGAGCCACAGAGCACAAGAGACATCCAGCCAGCTAGCTGATGTGTCAGGCAGAAGAACACCCAGTACCTCTTTCAGGCTGGCCTATCTCACATGTGCCAGGGGAGATGAAACAGCCATGCTTTGTTTCTCCTGAGAAATATGACTATTTTTATCTTCTGGTGTAAGAGCAAGGAGGCAACTTGTCAGGAAAAGGAAGCCTCTGCCTCCTCCAGAGCTCAGTCACTTCACTTGAACTCTGACAGAGGGAACAGCCCTGGGAGTGCCACTTGCTCTCTTGCCTTCGCTTTCTGCAGCTTTTGGGCAGATTTCTGGGCTTTTGCTATTTAAAATTGCATTTGGTAAATGTTTCATGGTTTATTTTGTAACATACCATACGCTATGTCCCTATACTCAATAAATAAAGAGAAGACTGGGTGCAGAGGATCTTAGCCCACAGCTGTGCTGGTACCTCAGTATCTCACTTTGATACAAAGCGGGGCAACAACAACATTTTGGTCCCTGAGCCACAGAGGCAGGGTGCAGGAGGTGTCACACCATCCCTGGGAGGTGCTGGGGTGCCAGGAGCTGCTGGGCTCAGGCTGGTGTGGGTGAGCACAGCTGCTGTGCCTGTCCTGTGCTGCCAGGGCTTTACTGGTGCAGCTCTGGGGTTACAGGTGTGGGGGTCCTTTCTGAGAGAGAGGGGGCCTGAGAAAGAAGATTTATCCCTATTGGGTTGATTTACCCCAAAACACATTCCTTGGCAGGCAAGAAAATACTACTAGCACAGAGCATGCCTGTGCAATGCAAAGCTCACCAGGGCAAAACTTATTTTTTATTTACTCCTTTTATTTGATAGTCACCATTGTTTTTGTAATGTCTCATTCTACAAGTATTGTCCATTGCAGCACATCAGGAGCAAACATGAGACATCACAAAAACAATGACTATCAATGCTCCATGACACATCCAGAAAAAATGCTGACTTATCAAAGAAGCACCAAGCAGAACTTCATTTTTCTGAATGTGTGTCGTGGGACATTCAAATCTCGGGCTTTTATGCTGTAGTGGATGTTTCAGTTCTGGAAAATGAGCTGACATTGGGACCTAAGACATAACAGGATGTGCTTGGCTCTGGTGGTTCTTGCTGTAACCTTTCTTGGTTCTTTTGTAGACGCATCTAACACTGAATCATGAGATGAAGTATTTTTTCCTACTCTTCTTAAAGGGGATGAGATGAGATGAGATGAGATGAGATGATCGAAGCTGGCCTTGTCCTTTTCTGTCTGCTGCCTCATCCCCCTGTTTGAGAGCTGCAGTTTCTGCTGCCCGAGTGCTAGCAGGGATCAGTTTTGTGGGTGGTGTGCTCCAGAGCCAGTGCTGGAGGAAGGGCAGGGAGGCTCAGCGCCGTGACCAAAGCAGGTCTGTGGCTGTGCTGTGGTCCTGTAGCACCCACCAGGTGGGCAGACTGAGCAGGCACCCAAAAGAGCAATGGCTGGTTCTGTAGAAGATACAAATCTCCTATCCCAGCATTAATCCTTGTGGAAGCAGCAGTGCTTGCTGCCCAAACTTGGCCTTTCTAGTCAAGTAGCCAGAACCTGCTTGTACCTCTGTTGGCCTGTCCAGAGGGAGGTTCTCAGGCACAGGCAGTGTGAGAGACAGCTAGATAATTTAACTTCTAAACTAAAACTCTGAGTAAAAAGTCAAGTAGGAAACCATAGCTAGTACAAGCCTTTCTTGAGATGTTCACCAAAATGATGCCATGGGGAAAAGACACTGATTTTGTCCTTATTCTGCAACAGATATTCAGGTGCTGCAGCTGATAATGTAATCATCAGGTCTGGCCTGAGGATTTTGGATAAGATCAGTTTGTAGTAGCTATCAAGCTCATGAGATACTGCAATCCTTGCTGTGGGAAGAAAGATAAGGGTTAATTGAAGGAGAGCACAGTAAGAGGCCCTGAGCCAATGAACTGGCATCCTGGTCTCCTCTGCCAGCCTCAGCTTGTTGGAAGGAGTGCCAAACCCAACCTTCTCACCCCAGCAAAGTACTCCTTCCCTCCCTGCAGAAGGGACTTTGCCACAGCACCTTTTCTCATGCTGCCAGCCTGGCTGCCTTGAGCCATGGATCAGCAGAAGCATGGCAGCCTTTCCCTCCCTCAGAGGTGCAGCTTCAGCCTTTACCCTGTCAGAGAGGTGCCAGGCCAGCTGCTTGAGGGCCTCTGAAATGCCCCTTGGCTCTGCTACAGCCCCCTCCCCAGAATTGCTCTTCCTTTGTGAGGGGGAGTTGCTTTCTCCCTAGGAACAGCAGGGACACAGGTGAAGGAGTTTTCCCAAAGCAGGACATGGCTGCTGCTCCCCTGGACCTTCTGGTGGAGCTGGGAAGGTGTAAAAAGGAGCTGTGAGCAGAAAAGGGCAGGCATGTGAGGAGCTACCTCACACAGTGATCAGTGAAACATCTGCCAGCTACTGCCCAGGGCTTCCAGGCTGGGCTTCAGGGGCAGGGATCAGCTGAGCTGGCTCAGGGAATAAGCCAGGCTTTGTGCATGGGCATACAGGACAACAGGGCAGGCAAAGAGGGTGGGCAGGCACAGAAATGGCTGCTTGAGAAGATGAGCTGGATGACCAGGAAGCAGGATTTGAGTCACATAACTGACTGTCTCACTCTCAGTCTGGGGTGTGGCTTTTCTTTCTGTGCAGAGCTCCCCTCTGAAGTGTGATTTACCCTTTGGGCAGGGGCATGAGCTGCCTGCATTGCTGGCCTCCTGCTTCACCCTCCTTTTTTCATCTGAGGACCAGCTGCCTTGTTCTCACCTCCTGTGACACTTCCCACCATTACTGCCTGTTCTAGTTTTCCTTTTCTACAAAATGCCCACTCTGGAGGGTTTATTCTTCCTCTTTGAATGACACCTCAGGACTCCACCTATGCACACGTCAGCCTAAGGGAGGAAAGGGGACTTCCAAGGTGTCTTCATGGCTTCAGAGCATGGTTCCTCATGATCATGCCTGCCCTGAGAAACCCCTCTCCGGGTTGTTTTGCTCTTGGCTGCCTTTGCCAGTGCTGTCAGGAATGATTCCTGGCTCTGGAAGGAACCTCTTGGCTGCCTTCTGCCACGGAAAGTGCACAGCCTGGGCCCGTTCCCCTTTCTGAGTCTCACTGGGCATGTGGTTAATGCTGGGCACGGAGCCCACGGTGCTGTGAGGCCCTGCTAAGGCAGTGTTTGATCCTGCCCACCTGCTGTCACCAGCACTGACCCCAGTGAGGTGGCAGAGCCTCGCCTGCCTTTGGTTTGGGTGCTATTGTTCGACAGTTTCTGCCTCGGGTGCATCTGAAGCGCAGTTTTGAGATAACAGGAAGAGATAATGCCACAACAGAGATGCTTATTGGTTGTGTTCCCCACACACTCCTTCTGCCTACACAAAAACAGCAGGCAAGTGTTTCTGGCTGCTGCCTGGCCTCCCACACAAATGCCTGCTTTCATTTCCAGCCCTTTGCTGTGGCATGGGCAGGTGAATGAGCACGGTGTGGAGGCAGAGGGGTGCGAGGAGAGACGCGCTCGGTGCGGTCACTGCTGCCCACTGAGGGGAACAGCTCTGAAACAGCACAGCAGGCATCCCCAGGCTGCATTTCCCTGTTTGCCACTCCCTGGCTCAGCAGCAGTGAAATGGGGACAGGCAGTAGGGCATTTGGACAACTGGCCCTTGTAAAGCCATAGGATGAAACGTCTGGGACCGCTGCTCTAAGCAGGCGGAATCAGGCAAACCCCTCTTCCTCTGTTAAGCCAAAGCGAGCTTTCCCATTAATAATGGCAGTGAAATAAAGGCATGCTTGTTTGCCAACAAGTTCCTATGGAAGGGTGCCCTGGTCTCCAGCTTTTCTTTCATAAAACATGCATGCACATCACGTGTCTCCACGATGGGCTCTTTGCAAAGCCTGCGTCAGTCCCTTCCCTGTTTGGCTGAGTTCCCTGTGCTTGTTGGCAGGTTTTCTGGAGGATCCTGCTGGGCAATTCCTAGAAAGGAACTCCATGCCAGGGCACTGGGGGCTTGCCCTGCTCTGCCTTGGCTCTGCTCTTACTCCTGACTCATCTCACAGTGACTGGTGTGTCCTGTCTGTCCCTTGTGACTTGCCCTGTCCTGAGCAACAGGCACATGGCAAACCAGGGAGAGCAAGGGCAGTCTGTAGGCTTGGGATGCCCCTGTGATGCCTCTATTCATATTCCTGCTGGGAATGGGATTTCTCCTCTTGTATGATAAGGGAAGCTATCAGTTTGTGCTGGCGCTGCTGTTTTCCTCCATCTCTGCTTTCCTGGAAGTTTTACAGCTGTTAAAGGCACCACCTGAGGGAGCTGTGTCTCCGGGAATGGCTGTACAACACCCAGCTGCACCAAGAGCAAGGGGGACTGCGGGGCCCGTGTGCCGCAGACACGCCGGTCACTGTCAGTGACCAGGTCTAGCTGGCTTCAGTGATTTCAGCAGCCAGGGCCACTGTAGTACAAGGCAAAATGAGGATGTGGTTCCTACTGCTGGTGGGAAGTGCTGGTATTTCAAACCCAAAATTCAACCAGGAAAACCTCCAATGCTCTTCTGCTGA